CGGGCGGGGCGGGGCGGGCCCCTGCCTCGAGGCAGTCTGCGGCAGGGAGCACTGCAGCCTTCAGGGCAGGCATCCCAGCCCCTGGACACACAGCAAGATCAGCGTGGGGTCCTCCTGGGGGAACTGGGGCCCTCTTAGACACACACATACACACACGCAGCACAGTTCCACCCCCACTCCTGTGGAAACAGGATGAAGAGGCCTCTTCAGCTGCGGCTCCAACAAGGCTGGGACTCGGATCCAGCCCCTTGAGTCTCCTTCAGGCCACACTAGGGTGTAATCCAAGCAGGATCCCCCCAACCCCCACAGAAGCCAGGCAGGTTCACGGGCTTCCTTCTGGTCGAGCCTGCCCTCCTCACCACCCCACAGGCCCTCAGCGTAGCCAGCCATGCCCTGAGGACACAATACCCGCCATCCCTGGGGTCCCACTCACCCCTGCGCTTGGCCTGGGCTATCACGTCGGCTGCGCCCTTGCTCATCACCTTGGTGATGTACAGCGGGCAGTTGGCCTGCTTGGCGACAGTGATGGCTCGGTACACAGCCTCGGCCTCCACCTGGGGACATGGGGGGGGGCAGGAAAGGAGCTCAGGCCACGAGAAGACCCTGTGGCTTCCTGGCCAGTCTGGACACAGGGATGCCATGGATTACCCTCAGGATCCTGGGCTCCAAGAAGCACCCCATGGCAGGGCGAGGGCCCCAATCTGGAGCTCAATACCTGGGATCTGCCTGACCCTTACAGTCCCCAGGGTCGGGTCATGCTGCCTTCACAGCCTCAGGTAAAGGCCGCAGGGTGACAGGGTAGGGTCTATTGATTCATGCCTCCCAGATGAGGACCGGGTAGCCAAGCCGGGAAGCCAAGGCCAAGACTCAGGCCAGTCCCAGGGGAGCATGGTCTGGGGAATGTGGTCACGGCACCCTCAGCAGACAGACTCTCTTACCTCCTCGGGGTGGCTGAGCACGTGGCCCTCGGGGCCAGTGATGCCGAGCTCCAGTAGCCGCTTCTGCTCCTGGGGAAACCGACGGGATGCCTCGCTGCAGCCCTGGACTGAGTGTAGGCCAGGACGCCCTGCTCCCGACTTGAGTCCTAGACCTCTGGGCCTCCCAGAATCTCCCCCACCCCTACACACAGAACTCATAATAAACGGGCGAGGTGGGCTTCGGAGAGGGTGATTTCAGCTGCCCACACTACAGAGGAGGGAATGGGCTTGGGGCGTGTTCAAGGTTGCAGGGCTCCTGACCAAGGGGCCAAGACTCCACTTCATGGCCTGGCCTTCCATGCCCTGCCCCCCCAGGGGGGCATGTTTGGGGGAGTGCGCTGGGGTGGAATGTCACCACCTTCCTGTGGGACTCGGCACCTGTCCCAGGAAGTCTCTGTGGGTCTAGGGTGTCAAGAAGGTGCTCTGTGAGGAGGGTGGGCTGTTCTGAGCTCTTTGAACTTCTAGGTCTGCAGCACCTGTTCCTGTGGGCATCTGAGCTAAAAGGAGAAAGAGGCCCCGGGACTTGGGGGCCATCCCACCCCACAGCCCCCAGAGCCTGAGGGGCAGCGCTGTGGCAGGCAGGCTTGGGTCCCTGTCCTCTGAGACATGTCTGAAGGACACAGCTGGTAATCCAACACTGTGCACTCACTGGTCGGAAGGAAATGACCCAACTTCCAGAAAGAGGTCTTGAGTCATCGGAGAGGAGGTGGGGAGAAGGGAGGGAGGTGTTAGGAAACCCCTAGTCTTGGTCCCTGCCCCATGAAGAGACATTTCAATCTGGGGATATTTTTGACAAGTGCGATGATCACAGAAAAATCCAAGATACAGCCAAAGACTCCACAGGCACCCATTGCTTGACCTGTGACCCTGGGCAAGCAATTCACTATACTATACTTCATATTTTCTCCCTGAGGTTTTCTCCCCCCCACCCCTCCACCCCTCAGCCCACAGGCAGCCCGTCCTCACAGCACCTCCTCCACGATGTCCCCATTCTCAGCGTGCACCTGCGCCAAGGCGCCCAGGTCCCGGATGATGCTGAAGATCTCATACATCTGGGAAGAGAGGTGCACAGGGGCCCCAGGTCGGGCTGCGGCTGCTGTGGCCATGGCTGGAGACATATCTACTTGTTCTCTTCTCTCAACACCTGCCCTTACCTGGCCGTCAGTGCACTGGCACCTGTCCTTGTACGCCATGAAGACCAGGAAGGAGTTCACACCTGGGGAGAAGGTCAGATGGCTCAGCTATTGCAGGTGGATGACTCCAGGAGGTTCCACTGCTCCCTGCTGTTTAGAGGGATGGAGGCCTCTCCCATGGGCATTTCACCAGCTGGCACAGCAGACGTCAGGCCTGTCCCTCCTGCCCCACCACACCATGCTGACAGGCTGGGAAACATGCATCCTGCCCCTCCTTGCCTGCTCCTCATGCTCTGCATTTAGAACCCACTGTCCATGGCTAATGCGGGTGAGGAACCCCCTACACACACCTGGCAGGGATGGAGCCCCTGCACTGGGAGAGAGCTGGGAACCCCACACACACCTGGCAGGGATGGAGCCCCGGCACTGGGAGAGCTGCTGAGTCCCACCTGCTCCCTAAGGTGTGCGGGAGCCCTCAGGTCGGCCACCAACATATCCCTCGCTTGCCACTGGGCCTTAGAATGCTGCCGTCTGGCCTGGCTCACAGTGAGTGCTCAAGGGACATGCTCAAGACACAGCGGAGTGGCAGGCAGTTCTCAGGGCTCTCAGGACAAGCAGAAGGTACAGGTCCAGAAGGGGCTGAGCGCTCCCGTGTCACAGGCTACCAGACCCCGCCCACTTCCCCTGAGACTTGGGACTTGTGTGGGGACCTGGCTGGCCTGGCGGCAGCCCCCATACTCTCCTGCCATCCACACTCTCCCAGCCCAGGGCTCCTCTCTCTTCACTGGGTCAAAACTGCTAATGTGATGAGCTCAGGCCAGAGTGGGGTGAGTCGCCCTAAGCCACGCGGCCTTTTCCCAGTGACTACCCACACATGGCAAGGTGTCTGCGGCTTGCCCCAGAGTATCTGACAGAGGCTACTGGCCAGAACACAGACAGTCCCTGGAACATCCTCCTCCGCTGCCAACCACCTCCTCCCAGCAGAAGCCCTGCCCAGGGCTGCCTGGTAGGATGAGTGGAGGCTCTGCAGGTGCCTGGTCTCCCTGTCTGCCCTGAGACACAGGCTGCAGCTTTCCGATTCAACTAAAGAACAGCATGGCAGGCAGCACTGGTGCCACTGCTCACCCTTGTCCTTGACCAGGGCTTCCAGCTCCTCCTTGATGCTCTCGTGCCAGCGGGGGATGTCCACGTGCAGGGAGTAGTCACAGCAGGCCATGCTGTCTGCCCGCTCCCGCCACTGCTCGTAGGCCGCCAGCAGGCTCACTCCCGCGTCGGGAAACACGTGGTCCACTGTGGGGGCAGCACAGTCAGCCAGGCTCCCCCACCGGGTCACTGCACCCCACTGCTGACTCCAAGGGAGGTTCGCTTTTATGTTCCCAAGAGATTAGAAAATGCATCTGAGGAAGACACGGGAGAGGCCATAGCCCCTCAAGGGGACTAAGTCGGGGCTGGCAGGTGGCATGGTGATCAAGAGCACTGGACTGCCATATGGCTGACCATGGTTTGAGTTCCAAACCTGGCGAGTTGCTTTTTCACTACCCCCCCCCCAAACCTATC